ACCACACTGTTAACAGGACCACACTGCTAGCAGGACCACACTGCTAACAGGACAACTGCTTACAGGACCAGGCTGCTAAAAGGACCATGTTACAAACAGAACCACATTGATAACAGGACCAGACTGCTAAAAGGACCATGCAACTTACAGGACCACACTGCTAACAGGACCACACTGCTAAAAGGATCATGCTGCTTACAGAACCATGTTGCTAACAGAACCACATTGATAACAGACCACACTGTTAAAAGGACCACACTTCTAACAGGATCACACTGCTAACAGGACCATACTGATAGCAGGACCACACTGCTAACTGGACCATGTTGCTAACAAAACCACATTGATAACAGGATCAGACTGCTAAAATGACCATACTGCTAACAGGACCACGCTGCTAACTGGACTACATTGCTAACAAGGCCATGCTACTAAAAGGATCCTGCTGCTTACAGGACCATGTTTCTAACAGAACCACATTGATAACAGGACCACACTGCTAAAAGGACCACACTGCTAACAGGATCACACTGCTAACATGACCACACTGCTAACAGGACCACCCTGCTAACGGGACCACACTGCTAAGAGGACCACACTGCAAACAGGACCATGCTGCTAAAAGGACCATGTTGCAAACAGAACCACATTGATAACAGGACCAGACTGCTAAAAGGACCATGCAACTAACAGGACCACACTGCTAACAGGACCACACTGCTAAAAGGATCAGGCTGCTTACAGGACAATGTTGCTAACAGAACCACCTTGATAACAGGACTACACTGCTAAAAGGACCATGTTGTTATCAGGACCATGCTGCTAAGAATTCATATATCTTGGGCTGTTTTTACTTTGTAGATCCACATCTAAAATTTGAGAATCATATAAAGAACATTTCCAAAAAAGTCAAAAGAAACCTTAATTGTTTCAAATTAATAAGACCTTATATTCCTGTACAGGCTGCTCTTCAGTATATGCATGCCTTGATATTCTCTCGTATCTCATATTGTAGGACATCATGGGCCCAGGCTACTACAATGGCTATAAAGCCAATGGTCTCATTGTATAACTAAACAATAAAAGTAATGCACAAAAAGCCAATAAGATCACATCACTGTCTAACCTTGGACAAACATAACTTAATGAGTTTTGAAAGCTTTTCTAACTCATGTTTTCTTAAATTAATTTTTAAGTGTATCAATAAGTTAGCTCCTCATCCACTGAGCTCATTTATACAGAAGCAAAACAGTTGCAGAGTCACCAGAGGATCTTTAGAACAGAATTGCTTAACTCCCCTATGTAGACCCTCGTTTGGTCAGACTTCTTTTTCCTATAAAGGCACAACATTATGGAACTTATTGCCCCCACATGTAAAAGCTATACCTGAACTTAAAAAGTTTGTTTACATGACTAAATCTTGGCTAAAGGAAAATCAAAGATGTGATCATTTTTAATACTCGGATTTTATGGATGCAAAAGTCTTTGTGGGAGTGTATGTATTAGTGAGTTAGTATTATATTTACAATTTTTAGTATGTTAGCTGAATGTGTGAGGATGGGGTGGTATTGAGGAGGTGCTATGATATTTCTGTAAATTTGTGGGTTGCAAAGTTATTTTAGAATTTGTAGAGGAACATTTTTGTATTTTTATTGTATTTAGATTTTTAAATTGTTTGTATTTTAATGTATAGTTTTTATTATATGAAATTGGAGATTGTTAGGTTGATTACATGAATATGTAGGCAGGAGTACGTAGGTACTCTTACTGTATTTTGATTGATAAATTGTATGTATTTTAATGCATAGAAATGCCCAACAAGGGACTGGAGTTGTGAATTAGCTGTAGCTATGTACTCTGTGTGCAGCACATCAGTCACAGACTTGTTCAGTTCTATGTTTATGTGCACTGTCCCTGTCAAATAAACTAACTAACTAACTAACTAACTAACTAACTAACTAACTAACTAAC